CCCATCCTGCAGGGTCGGCGCAGGGCGCGTGTTTTTCCCTAACTGATTGACACATATCTATATATACATATAACCAAGATTTTGAAGGCTCGCTCCGCTTCGCCTTAAATCTTGGCCCATGGCTTCGTCGATGAGACGGCAAGCGCGGGCGCTCCCGTCGCGCTCGCCGCAGGCCCTGCCCCCGGCGACCTGTCTTCGTCGCCTAGAATACAGGTTGGGTAGGGCGGTTTGGGGGCGGCGACGGCGACGACGAGGGCGAGGGGATGGAAGAGGAGGCGGAGGAGGAGGAGAAGGATGAGGAGTGACTTTTCTTGCGAAGAGAAAGCGATGGCACGGTGGCCCCACGAACAGCAACGGCGTTGGCGTAAGCAGGCGGGGACGCGGAAGTCTAGACAGGCGTGGCTCACAGGAAAGACAATAGGATCACCTCGAACGCTTGCCGTCGCGCAAGGCCACGGCCCCCCACACGAAGGGGAGTAGGGTTTCTCTGTGCCAGGATCTGTGCGCGGAGCGCATTTGGTGGAGCCACGTGTCTGTCGCCATTTTCTTGCGCATGCGGGACCCCCACAGGAAAGTTCGATTCTCACAGATCGTGTATTGTGTCTCATCAAAATCCATGAGGTCCATGCCCAACAACGCGTTAACGCGGCAATGCAGGCCCATGGAGTGTTGCCGCGACGTCAGCATCTGCACCAGCGTGTGGCCAAGCTCCCTTTCTGCTTGCGTGACGTTGGCAGCCACTGTTCTTTTGCCACTATCAGTGGGTTCCCTATCAGCGAGAGCATTGTACATGTCGAAGGCCGCCGGGCACAGGTGTCTCAAAAAGTAGAAGTCACCGTCTCCGACGTGTTCCATAAATGTGAGCTCAGACATAATTGATTGGTGCCAATTGAGTGTGCCGAATGAACTCTCAAAGAATCGTTTATACACCAGTTGAGCTTGGTACGGGAGCCACGAAGCGTGGGTGGCGAGAAGCGTCTTCGTCATCTGAACCATGAGCACAGGGCTACCGTTCAGGGTAGCCTGGTGTTCCGTCAAGGTCTGGGCCATGTGATGCATGCGAACAGCCACGCGGTGGGGCTTGGTGCCAACGCCTTCGCCCAACAACTGTTTCGAATCGTCGCCGGGCGTGAAGCTCGGCAAGTGGTAGCCGGCATCTGGCTGTCGTCCGTACAGAGTCTCACAAAGCACCAAAGCATCATAGAAGCGCTGCACATTGTAGGCGTCTGTGGAGATCAAGGCAGGTAGTTTTTCGTCTGCGGACATGTGCCGTCGAACGTCCAGGAGGCGGCTTTGGAGCTTGTCCCGGGCAGCGCTGCTGGCGACGATTTCTTGTCGAGATTGCTTCTGGTGCGCTAACCAGTGATAAACGGCTAAGACCGTGACCAGGTAGTGGCCCTCATTAAGGTACAAAGTAGACATAAAAATGAACAGCGCCAACGTCGTCAAGGGTTGCTTCTTATTCGCCATCAGTAGGTAGTGCTTGGTGGCGCTTGTATTGTCAAGGATCGGATGAAAGTGATTCAGCTTCCGCGTGCGGAAATCATGGTCCACTTCGGGCTGGATGGTGTCTGCGAGTTTGGGTAGGTGGAATGCTTCAGGCAACTTGTCTATCGGAATCCAATGGTGCATGTCTCTTCGTCCATTCTTCCGTTTTTGCACGGCGTTCAAGAAAATGTCGCGGTCGTGTTTTTTGTAAGAACAGCTGCCGTCGAGAAAACAGATGGGGAAGTGAGACATATCTTTGTACGCAGCGTAACTCATACAACTGCGGCAGGGCAACATCAAATGCCAATACGTGAGAAGGTCTTTGTCGCAAACAACGCCCAGTACGCCCTCAGACGAGGCTGACCGTATTGATTTTTGCTCGTTGGAGTCCAGCATCGCTGTCGAATGGGATCGTCGCCAACCCGAAGAAGGGCCACAGGCGTGCGAAACAGTAGGAGAAGGAGCGTAGCAGACGCGGGAGAAGGAAGGAAGGGAGAGGATTGTTCGATTATGGGAAGGGAGCGGGGTGAAGTGCAAGAGGCGCGTGGTGTAGGGGGTAGGTGCGCGGAGCGGCGATGACGGAGAGAAGTGAGCAGAGGGTGGAAGATAAAGAGAGGGAGAGCAACGAAAGGACAGGGTGGGATTACGGCGGAGGAGGTGACCTAACAGTCTGGATGGTACAGCGGAGAGCCGATAAGGAGGAAGTGGAGGTAACAACGCGGATGAGGAGACAGGGGCTGAGAGGCACGACTCCACGCACCCAGAGGCAGCGCCCTAAAGTATATAAGAGATGGTGTTGTCTCGTGACGGCGTGGCCGCCAGTGGAGAAACATCTGCTCCGCGAAAAGGTGTGCGGGGTCTGTGGGGTCCGGAAAGGTCTTATTGGGTATAGTCGGGTGCATTCTCGGTTTTGGGGGTCTTGAGTTCGCCGGGTTCTCACTTCGGCTGCGTGGTCCTGTGTGGACTTCGGAAGCTTTGCAAGATGTAGGTTTGAAATGTCGTGGGGGCGACCTTGGTGTTTTTGTGGTCGCGTCGAGGTTCTGGGGTCTTACGGAATCCTGTCGGCTTTTGTGGGATTCGTCGGGACTGAAACTTCGGTGGGGTCTGGCGGGGTCTAGTTTTGTGGGTGATCGTTGGTGTTCTGGGGGGCACCTTGGTGTTCTATGTGGGCACGTTTGGGTTCTGCAGTCGTGTTCGGTCCTGCGGTCTCCCGCGTGGCGTGATGAGATCATGTGGACGCGCGTTGGGTTTTTGATGCCTGTGATGGGGCACACGGTTCAGTGAGGTCCGGTGGGGCGTCAGGTAATATTGGGGTGCTTTGGAATCATTGTTGTCCTATGCGGTCCTGTGGCGTCCCGTAGGGTGCGAAAGGTGTGTGTGGGTATTGGGAAGTACGGTGAGCTTGTCGGGGCCTGGAAGGCTTGAAGGGTCTTGTGTTCTCCGATTGGAGCCTGGGAGGTCCAGAGGGGCCCTGTAGAGTGCTGTGGGGCGTGTGGGGTTTTGATGTTCCAGTGAGAAGTGTTTTTGTTGTGTGGTTCTGTAACGTGGTGCGAGGTCCTGACGGGATCGTTAGGCTGGTAGGGGTCTTTAGGGTTCTTCTCGAGTGCCAGACGCAATGTGATGGGGTGGCGGAGGGCTTGCGCAAAGCGCTCGATGGCACAGCAGGTCGAAATGCGAAAGATGATGGAAGGAGACAGGGGCTGAAACGCTCGACCCAGATGGCTCCGGAGTCACATTCGGAATGTGTGTGAGATCCGCTCAACTCTGCTGGGTAGGTGCGCAAAGGTGTGTGAGATGAGTGGGCGTCCCTGCAGTGTATTGCATCCCTTTTTGGGGGTCGAAGAGGAGCTCTAGAGATGTCCAAATATCCCAAAGCGGCCCAAGAGGATGCTAGAGGGGCGAAAGAGAAGAAGACGACTTCACATGAGGAGCTATCTGTCCTAAAACGGGTCCTCGAGCCTTGCAGAGGCCCCGGAGGCGCCCCGAAGGACCTCAAGAAGGTATCGAGGTGCCGGAAGAGGCCTCCAGGGACCTGGAATAACTCTCATAAGCGTTATCCAGATGTTCCCTAGCGTCCTCCAGAGGGCCTTGAAAGGCATCTACAACGACTCTTGTATGCCCCAACGTGGTACTCACCCACAGCCCAGGCACAATGGCGGGCGGGGCCGATGGCCAGCATGCATCTTCCACGATGGTCGGAAGTTCTTCTGGGGGGCGGCGGAATGGCGGAAGCCACTTCAAGAACATTCGACATGCGCAAGCCAGACTTGCGGTATGGATGCAATGCTCGTGGGGTCTAAAGGGCGGTGTGCGAGTAGGGCACACCGAAAGGATGCAATAGCTCTGGGCGCATTCCGATCCTGTCTGACGGAGGCGGGGATTCAACGCATAATGTGCGGGGGTGTTGCTTGGCGCGGAAGACCGATCTCGGCAAAACGTGACGGCCGAGCGAGAAAAGCCGTCGAAAATATTGGCGAGAAGGCGAAGAGGCAATGACGCTTCCGGGTGGATCGTTAGTGTACGATGCGCTTTGATTACACGCAAGTGATTGAAGGAGGCGGGGGTGTCAAGGGCAGAAGAGAAGTACATGCCCGGCGATATTTTGTAGGGGGACGCGCGGTCTTGCCGAATCGGAAGACAACCCACTGAAAAGCTTGTTGCGTGCGGTGGCAACCTGTGAAGTCCTGTGTTGTCCTTTGGGGTCCTGTGGGCTCTCATGGGGGCCTGGGGGGCGGGTCCGGGGAGAAAGATCTGGCTGGTTGACGCAAGTGGAAACGCAGCAAGAAACAGCGGAGGTGACAGGAGGAGTTGGAGGTGGCGGGAGGAAGAGGAGGCAACAGGAAGAGGAGGGGGCATGAGGTGGAGGCAGGGGAAGGAGGTAGAGGGTGAGGAAGACGAAGAAGAAGAGGTGGGATACGGATGAAACCGTTCGCACGGTTGCCTCTGGAGCGGCAGGATGTTAGCGGACGGTTGTGGATGCGCGAGGCCGTATGCCCGGAGGAGACGACGACGGACGAGGACGACGGCGATGATTCCTTCTGAGGTCGACGCCGTCTTCCGCTGAAAGACACCCAAGGGGCCGAAATATGAGTCGTGAAGGGGATGATCAAATATGAAGCACGGTTTAAATCAGACATCCACGGTATCGTTGGGGGGCACAAAATGTCCGTTTCGCTGAGGCGCGGGTGCGAAACCGGGATGTCAAGAAATACGCCTTGGGGGCCCGATTTTTTGACACTCGGTTTTTGGCTGCGAATATATGGAAAAATACACTGGGCGAACCCAGGGGCGTAGATTTGCAGAACGTGGAAGTCTGCTGAATAAGGGAATCGCGAAGCAAAGAAGTGCCAGCGGGCGCGCGGCAGAACCGTAATGGGCCGCGACGCGGGGGCAAGGTTTTCGAGCGGGAACCGCAAGAACTCACGAAAATGACAGCCCGCGCAACGCGGCGGGCTACGGGGAGCCAGCGCGGCATTCAAAAACTTGCGCTGGAGTTGCCTGGGCCTGGAGCATCAGCGCTTCTTGGCCTTCTTCGCCGCGCTGGGCGCCGGGGGCCGCTTCACCCCGCGCTTCGGCGCTGCGGCCGCAGCGGAAGTGCTGTGGTGCACGGTCGTGGAGGCGGGGCCTACGAGGGCCGGGCCTGCACCCTCCGTGATGATGGACGGGTACGCGTCGAAGAAGTCCTTGAGTGCGCGGGCCACCTTGGGCGGGACGTTCGGGTGGATCGTGTAGACGAAATTGATCAGGTCGTTGAGCTCGTACGTCTGGCCATTCGTCATGGAGCCCGTGCGGCGGATGGACACCCGATTGTTCAGCAGCGTGGACTTGGCGGACCAGGCGCACTGGGTGTCAGTCGCCGGGACGTGGAGGTCGGCCTTCAAGAAGCAGTGGGTGATGATGTCGACGGCGCGGGTCGCCACGTACTCCGTGGCGAGGGAGGCGGCTCTGGCGCTGTCGCCATAGGCGGCCACCACCCAGGCCCAACTCCTCCCGGAGGTAGGGTTATGCCCGGCCTGCGGTGGCTGGAGCCCTTCAGCGGAAACGCATACTCCGTTGGGTGGTTGGTTCAACTTCAGCAGGTCGGTGGCCCTCTTCACTGTAGTGGCGAGGCCGTGGCGGTTGGCGGGGGCCCCGCTGCGCATGCTGATGCCGTCGGACAGCGTGAGGCGAGAACCCGCGTTGGCCTTCGTCGGCGTGTCGACCATCTCGATCGTGACGTTCACCGTGTACAGGGACGCGCGGATGCGGTCCCCAACGTCGGGCTGCGCGCGCACCGGCACGGACGTGTCGAGGACCGCGTTGCCAGCTGGCCTGCGCAAGACGCTGGGGGCGGCAGCGGGCTTGGCGAAGACGGTAGGCATCGCGGCGCAGGTGGGAGGGAAGGGGGCCCAACGTGCGAGAAGTGTAGGAAAAGACGAACGCTCGGCGGAGCCTGGCAGCCGAAATGCTCACTGCGTGGCGGCAACGAGAGAATTGAAATGGCCCCGCAAGCTGGCGGGCCGACAGGGCTGGCGGGGCGGCGGCACGCGGGGGGAGAGAGGAGGGAGGGCGACGACGGAGGAACGGCGATGGTCTGTTTTTGCGCCCACGCGAAGGCAAGGGAGGAAGAAGGCATCCTAGCGGCGTCGGGCCCCGCGCTTGCTGCTAACAGGCTGGTCGCGGGAACTCGCCGCCGGTCGTTTCCGGGCAACCGATGGGGCAGAATCGTTGAGCAAGAACTCAGGCCACACCACGTTTTTGGTGAGGGCTTTGCCAGCAGTGCTGCAGCGTTCCGGCAGTGTGAAGATGCGGATGGTCGTTCGAGTCTCCACCCGGCTCAAAGCTACGTAGAGATGGCCGTGGGAAAACGGGCTTCTGCGGACGTCGACCACGCAGCGGGCCAGCGTGGTGCCTTGCGAGCCGTTGAACGTCGAAGCGTACGCTGGACGCAAAGGGTACTGTCGTCGGCGGATGGTGGTGGCCCCCCGCCCCAGTGCCCAGCGGAAGCAGATCCGGGGCAAGGGAAACTGCTCCCCATCGAGCCGCTCCACGAGGACGTGTTTCTCGTAGACCGATTTGAGCACGACGTGCGTGTGGTTCATCAAGCGATCACACGGACTGAAGTTTCTCATCAGCTCGTAGAGGCCGCCAACAACGAGCCGGAGAGCGTGAGGGGGGACTCCGTTCTCGTCCTGCAGGTTGAGGAACTCGGCGGTGATGTGATCTTCGACGGTGTCGTTGTTGGAGTCGTATTCAATGGCGTCCGAGCTTTTGGCGATGAACTCGTGCAGCAGATAAGTGCGCGTCAGAGTATCCAGGATACGGTCGTTAAAGGTGTTTCTCGCCTCATTCGTTGCTGTCAGAATCTTCCGATCGGCGCACTCGGCGGGGTCGTTTATGTGTGGGAAGCAATGAGTGATGGCGTCGTCCATGGTGTGGGTCACGGAGCAGCGGTCGAGCTCGATGTAGCCGGGTTCGCCATCAATGGTGTGCGTGTGCGGAACCTCGCCCTGGCCGATGCGTTCGATCCATGAAGCGTAGTCACTGTCGTGGATTTGTCGGTGCGTGGTGCGGAGTTGCCAAGTGCGGAAGGAGGGCCACGAAGCCGACGTTGTGACGCTGGCGGCGCGGACATCCTGTCTAGACGCGTGCTTCAGAACAGGCGGTATCTGGCGGAAGTCCCCGTAGGTGATGATGACTTTTGGGACGTAAATGTCTGGCCGAGCCTGCTGCAGGAGCGCGAGGTAGTCGAGGACCGCATCCCAGGCAGCGCGTTTGCAGGATGGCCACTCGTCCCACTGAATGACGGCAGCGGCCGCGATGGTGAGGGCGCCCGCGGAGGAGTGCCCCAGGCGGCAGGTGAGGTGCTCTGCGTCTTCTATCGGGATCTTGAAAGTCGAGTGCGCGGTGGCCCCATCTGGCAAGTTTAAGGCCGCTATGCCCGTTGAAGCCACGTTGACGCAGCTTTTGCCGAGGGACCGCACGTAGTAGGAGATGTACTTGGCGAGGGTGGATTTGCCGCAGCCGGCTCGACCCTGGCAGAAAATGAGCTTGGACGCGCCAGAACGCACGCCGTCGATGACGTCTTTGGCGGCCCCGGACTGATCCGGGTCTCGTTTGATCAGGTTCCACAGTCTGTTGGCTTCTGATGCCGCTGTTGCTGGGGTGCAATGGGTGAAGTCGGGCACGGGCGCGCCGCGGGCAGTGGTGGGGTGAGCGGGGGAGTGTAGAACCCAGGCTTCCTCAGTGTTGCCTTGGGCCAGCCAGGATGCTTTGAGCGTTCGCTGTAGCTCCCGGCGGGCGGTGTCCTTGGAGAGACCCCTGTCGAGGAAATCTTTCATCAAGTGTGTCTCGTACTTCTCGTACAGCGTGCGGGGCTTGGCGTCCTGCTCGAGGAGGACGACGAAAGCGAACCGTAGTTGGGAGGCCGTGTATCGGAGCGAGACCAGCTCGTCCATTACTCGAGAGGTTTCGTCTTCGTGGGTGAAAAGCCCCGTAGCAATCATTGCCTCTTCATAAGATCGGTATCTATGTCCAGCGTGAGTCTTGCATTCCTCGAAACTGCGCTTGGGGTAGTTGAGCAACATGTGGCGCAAGAAAAATACATCTTTCTGGCGGGGAAACTTCATCTCTAAGCGGCAAACTGGATGTTCGCCTTTCTGCTTCAAGTAGACAAAGAATTGGTTGCCTCCTGGAGCTGCGTCGAGGACGGGCGGCACGTGGAATGTGCGCAAGGCTCCACGAACCCGGCACTCCAATGTGAAAGTTGCCGGGTCCCGAGGTCGTTGAGCCGCATCCGGGAAGAGGTCCGGGAAGAAACATCGGAGGCTAATCGGGCACGTCTTGGCGACCATGAAGGATTCGAAGTATTCGTGGTAAAGCAGGTCGTTGAAAGGCGGAGCGGTGGGCCGGAAAAAGTAGCGTTGTAGAGGGGAAACGGTAGTCTGGAGCGCGTCCGCCTCGCCGCCGTCAGCAAAGGTTACCCAATCGTCGCCGGGGAGGTGCACTGGTAGGCAGATGACGTGGGGGACGCGTTCGTAGGTCTGGTATCCGAAAATACGCCAGGCACACTCTGTTGCACATAAATACCGTCCACGTTGCCAGTCTGTGATTTCGTCTGTCGTGGCGTCAGATATATGGTATTGGGTGTGGTCTGGGCCTTTGAAGATGTACTTGTACAGGTATTCGAAGAGGTTCACGTTGCCTGCGAATTTTACATTCGCGTGTCCTTGGCCGAACACCTCTCCGCATCGGGAAGGAGGTGGACATGACGGGTTAAGGGGGGAAAAAGAAGAGGGAGGGACTAGGGAAACGTACGGTCCAAAAGGAGTAGGGAAGAAGAAAACCATGGGTGGGGAAGCACTACAAATCCGACTTCCAGGGCGTCCCTCGACTGCCGAAAACGTACGTTTTGCGGAGGCGCGGGCTTGGAAATGGGGTGTCAAAAAATGTCCCTTCGGAAGCAGTTTTTTTGGCATGCGTTTTTTTGCTGATAATGTATGAAAACATACATTGGGGGACCCATGGGGGCAGGAATTGGGAGAAGTGGAAGTCTGCGGAAAAGAGGTGGGGAAATGCGGGGAAGGTGCTCGCGGGCGCGAGTAAGTGGATGAGGAACTTTGCGCGGAGAGGTGTTCCGCCGGTCCTTCCCAAAGCAAGAGTATGCGGGGGCAGTACTCGACGACGAGCCGGTTGCAGCACACATTCCGGCGCCCGTACGCAGGAGCGTTTTGCACGCAGTTCGGGCACGTGTGGCCGCAGGAGCGGCGTCGGTGGTGGGGGTACCCTCGAACGTCGAAGTCAGTGTCGTCCTTGAAAGGCCAAGGGCACCCTTTGACGCATTCCTGCGCTGGGTCGTCAGGGTGGCAGGAGTGGTTGCAGCGGTGGACCATGTGGAGCAAGACCAGGTCACGAAGCTTGCCAGGTTCGGGCGGAACCTCGCAGGAAATCACGGCGTCCACGTCTTCGGCTGTAGTTGGGGGATGGGTGCATGCGAGAACGATGTGCGCGTGCGGCAGGCCTCGCTTCTGGTACTCGATCACGCGAATGACGTACCGACGTTGGCCGCAAAACTCTGACTTCAGGTAGCCCATCATCTTTTCCAGACGTCCGTGAAAGACACGCACTGCGATGTCAGGGCGGTCGGCGGCGGTTTGTCCAGGGGAGAGTGCCTCTCGGATCTCTGGCCAGTGGGGGTTGCAGGTAAGGGTTATGAAGTAAGTAGGGGGTCCCTTGCGGCGTGCCAGTTCCAATGCGTCCACTCGGAGTCGTTTCAGATGGCGTGGAGAGCCGGGGACAGTGGAAGGGAGGTAGTACTTGGTGCCGATTGCGCTGGGGGGGATATGTTCGTTGGCCAAGGCCTCGCACAAATCCTTTCGGCTGGCAATGCGGGTGCTTTGCTCCCTCCGGACCAACGACAGCCTCTCGTCCTCCATTCGGCAGTACATGTTGATCAGCCAGTCGTTCAACAGACGCCCGCACGCGTGCATGTGGGGTTGCCGGAGGAGGTGCTGGCGGTACCACCACATCTGCGTCACGCGGTTGCCCGAAGTTGACACGGCGTCGGTGCTCCACCCGCGGCCTCCGTAGGGGAACCACAGCGGGTAGCTCAGAGGCTCGTAAAGGCAGTGCAAGGGCGAGAGGTATTGTGGGCGAGCGCCTGGCGTCAAACGGAAGCACACTGCCCTGGGTTCGGCGATGGCGTCGGGGCGTTGTTGCACTACTGCGGCAACTTCTTGCACACCTTCGTCCCACCGGAGACTGACGGAAGCCTCAGAGGCACGGGGCCAAACTGATTTGAGGTGCTGAACGTGCTGCATGTGTGTATTGTGCGGTATGATGAGCTTCTCCAGTTGGGACACGATGGAGAGGTCGAGGCCGTGGTCTCGGGCGCACGTGCGACGCTCACGGTCGTCGACCACGAGGTAGCGGACTGGCCCAGAGTCGGCAGCCGAGTACACCTTCCTGTACATGGTGCCGTGAATGCGGATGAACGATGGTCGGAGGACGCCCCCGAATCGAACTTCTCGTTCTGGTGTGGCGCTCTGGACCTCGTGGGCGGCGAGGCTGAGCAGGCTGTTGTAGCGGCGAGAATCCGCAGTGAAGCCCGTAAGCTTGGGCGCATTCGTGGTGTCGTCGTGGACGAGGTTCCCGTGCGTAGTCTTCACAGGCCAGGTGCGTCTGTACAGCTGCAGAAGGGCATCGCCTGGCTGCTGGTAGTACTGCGAGAAGTCAATGGCGTACTTTCCTTGTGCACAGCAGAAGCCTCCAACTTCTCGCTGGAAGCGTGGTGCCCCGCAATGTTCGCAAGGGTTGGCGAGAGCGCCCAGGGAAAGTGAATGTATTTGGGTAGAAGGTCTGCCAGGCTCGGCGCAGGACCGGCACACTCCAAGTAGATGTTCGCGCTGATGATTGCCAAAGTCGTCCAGAGGGAGGACGAGGCCGCATTTTGCGCAAGCCGCCGTGTAACGGCCGCCCGCTGTGCAGTCAGTGCAGACAGGGTCTGGTCCAGGGACGCCTCGAGGAACGAACGCATCCACGGACTTCGTGGCTTTGCAGCTGGTGCACTGGTAAGCTGTAGACGACCGAGGAGGATGAGCGCGACCGATGCATTGGATGCACACTTTTGTTTTCTCATGGCGTTGCCTGGTGCTGAAACTATCCCGGGGGAGGACGTCACCGCAAGCAGCGCAAGAGAATGTGGTGTGAGGGTCGGAGGGGTTAGCGCCGGCGGCGCAAGCGTGGCACTTCCTTGTGGATCTGGGTCTTTGGTTGTCGCTGAAATCTGTTCGAGGCAAGTGCTGTTGGCACGCAGAACATTGCAGTGTTGCGGCCTTCGGGCTGCACAAAACCAGGGATGGTTGCGTCAGGAATCGGGCATGGCGTAATGTCCAAAGCCCGGTCCGCGCAGCGATGACAGGCGGAGTGCGGCTCGGGGAGTCGTTATGACTCACAGCGACGCTTGCAACCGCCGTGGACGCAGCCACGTGGCGCCACGGCAACCGGGCAAACATAACGCTGAACGATTGAGCCTAAATGGGTACTGAAAGAGAGGTGGGTAGGGGTAGGGAGCAGACACCTGCGCTGTTGTGTGGAGTAGTGTCAGCACGGGGTCTGGACCGCTGTGTGTAACTCCTACTGGGGCTGCGCCACTCCGAACGACAATCACTGAGGCCAAGAGCGACAGATCCACTCAGAAGCACTCGTATTGAAACTCACGTACGCATGGACTGAATGCGGCTGAGACAGAACAATGCAGACATGTGTGCACATGTGTGGCCGCGTGGAATCCTTGACGGGGCTGCGTCTTGGAGACGGGGCGCTCTCTTGCGCCCTCGTCGGGCCGTATAGAGGCCTCGTGGTCTGTCTGGGACGCTCTGGAGTCCGAAAGACGAGAATGAGAGAATCACATGAGTAGCTAAGGAAAAGCATTGGATCTTACCCTTGGGGGCCCGCTGGGAGTTTGTAGAAGCGTCCGCGATACATCGTCCGCCTGGACATGTTCGTGGCCACACCCAGACAACGTTCACAAAGGGGTAGGGCAGCCAGATCCACGGATGGGCGCTCGCAGTCACACTCGCGCACGCTTAGACTCGATGCGGCTTAGACAGAACAGAGCAGACATGAGAGGAACGGGGGTGGCCGTGTGTACTCTTTGACAGAACGTCGTCCTTGAGACGGGGCTGCGGACTCTCCCAGCTGTTGAAGAAATCCCGGAGGAACTGTTGGGAAAGAGAAGAAGGAGGAGGATGGCGCTCTGGGAAAGTTTTCTGGCACGCTTGGGGCTTCTTGACAGTGTGCTGGGGGCCTCTTGCAGCGATCTTGAGAGTCTCCTCGGTCCGCTTGGGGCGTTTGGGGGGCTCTTGGGGGCCTCTGGAACCATGCTTAAGCGCTCCTGGCCCGTCTGACGCCGTCGAGATCTTTAGGGAGGACTTCGGTTCGGATTGGGGGGCTGTCTTAAGGCGCTTCGAAGCCGCTTGTGCGGCGATCTTGGACGTCTAGGAGGGCTCTGCGGCCGTGCTGTGAGGCGATCTTGGACGTCTAGGAGGGCTCTGCGGCCGTGCGGGGGCCTTGTTGGGACCGTTTTGGGGAGGCTCTGAAGCTGTTTGGGGGCGTCTTGGGCCACCATGAGGCCATCGTAAAAGGTTTTGGATGCATTTGGGGCCGGTCCAAAAGACCACTTGAAGGCGTCTGGCAGAGGGAGCGGGGGCCTCTTGAGGCATTTTGGGCTCTTCGTGCGCCTTTGTGGGGTACTATGATGGCGTGGTCCGGCCGCTGTGGATTTGCCGGGCGGGTTTCCGGATGTGATTTTATAGGATAAAGGAATGTATAAATATATACATACATCTATAATAACACTAACAATGGTATTAATAATTCGTATCAG